GCATGGATGAAATGTCGTGAACGAAGACCGTGAAGGTAAAATATAGAAGAATATCTGTGAAGTAAATGGCTGGAGCACACCAAAATCCAGGTACCTGAAGGAAATGTACTGAAGGGAACCCCATTAATGATGTTGCTGAATGGTAGTCTCTGCAGCCACTGTATTGAACCAATGCAACTGAAGCAGATCACCTTCAGGACATGTGGTGAACGGAGATCTGAGGTTAGTCTCGTACACAGCCCCTCATGACATCCCAATTCGGGAACCCTGTCATGAGGGTCTGGGCTGTAACCAGCCAAACAACCGTACATGGAGCTCTTGATTTTGCCATTTTTTGCGGTCTCATTCGACCAATTATCAACCATTTTGCACAAAACCTTGGAGTAGATTGTTGAGGTATATACCATTAGAACTCCTTTGAATATTTTCAAATTTATATGTCACCCCATTTCTATCTACTGAAGGCCGCAAAGTTCTGGGGTCCTGGTCGGTGGCTGTGAATGCTGGTCTCTTGAGTGGCGAAAAAGCCGGGGTCCTCGTTTGAGAGCTCCATGTATGGTTGTTTGGCTGGTTACAGCCCAGACCCTCATGACAGGGTTCCCGAATTGGGATGTCATGAGGGGCTGTGTACGAGACTAATCTGAGGTTTCCCTGTTAAGCACCCTCCTGAACGGTATTTTGTGGAGTGGAATTGGTGAAGCAAATGTGGTTAACCTACCTGCTTAACGGCTGTCCGGAAAAACTGTCCGCCGGACAACCAATCGTCCGCCATCATTCCTGTTATCCCACCGTTCTCACTGGCTCCCAACGTCAACGAGCTGGTTGCCGGCATTCCCGTCGATGTCCACAGCGGTTTCCACATCTGGCCGTCGATGTCCTCGATATAAATCCTGCTGTCCAGGGTTGCGTCGACGCCGCTTCTTCAGCTGATGCTCTTCCGCCTTCAGGCCTCCTGCACCACTGCCAGTGGCCCGCTTCTTTGCATCCATTTTCCAGAGAGCTGCAACTCTTAGGGCATCCTTGATGTCCAAGATCACAAGTCTGTGTGTGGAGAAAAGAGAAAGAGGTACTGTACCTGCATTTCTTCGAATTCTTGGCCTCACGTCGTTGACATAGTCGTCTGTTAAATATTGATGTCCTCCGCGCGTCGACGACATGGAATGCATCCAGATTCATTATAGCGGCAGCACCATGTCCTACGCAGTCACTCTGGATTGGAATTCTGGTTGACGCGTTGGTGTGGTAGAATTTGCGACTTCCAACCCATTCGGAGTGCGGTGGACTCCGAGCCTCAGAATCAGAATCGGAGGGAGAGAGGAACAGCCAGGCCGACGAAACGACGGGACCGTGTCCATTACACGCGCATAGCTCCCCAACGCCTGCGCCTTCGTGCCCCTCAACCCGTGATGCGCGCGCCCGCCCTACTAGAACAACCTGTCGCGGACTCATAGCTCCCTCAAATACACTGCACACCTGCGCCCTTCTTCATCAGACCCACCTCCCGGTACCCCGCTTTCCTTCGCCTTGTCGGACGAAGAAGACAGGCACATCCTCCCCTTTTTCCGATCCACTCGATCCCAGTGTACAGGACGCATGACCCGGCGGTGCACCAATCTCCCTCCTGCTGCCTGCACGACGACGGGGCCGTAAGGACCACCCACCCCCAGCCACCACACCTGAACGACGCCATGCCGATGGAAGAGGGCAGTCATCGAATGGCGTATGGGGGCGCGCGTCGGGTTGTTGCAGTGCCCTCACGCTCCGTTCTTCGCGCTTACGAATATGTACGCTGCTCTTTTTTCTTTGCGACCCAACCTCCCTCCGCCTCGACTCCCTTCCATGAGCTAATCGTTTTCCATATCACAGGTCCACGGTGTGCGTCATCTCGATGCGAGATGATGCCCGTTCTATCTCGACTTCCGACTCCAGAAGCAATCCGCTCGCGGCCCCGGTGACCTGCGAGATTTTTTTAACGTGACAGGCACGCGTGGACTGTGTTACCACAGCAGGTCGTCCCGCTTGGCCGAACGCGTCTCCAATGGCGCCTTCGAATCCGAGAGGACTCGGTGTCATGGGAGCCTTCGTGCCCATCGACACCCCGCTGCCCTTTCTTGCTTGCTACCTCGCTTGCTCGTGCCCAGCCAGCCGAGGGCGGAGCACGGGTGCCCGAGGCGTCATGGTCCAGCTCGTATCGACCTACGCGCCGGCGCGACTTCTTTCCCACTTCGTGACGTCGCACCCGGCTACATGTACGACGCACGCCGATTGCTGCACACCGAACAGCTCGCACGGCTGAGGAGTGGACTCCTCTTCCCGAACTTCAAGGTCCGTCTCCTTCAGTACAGGAGTAAATCCCATACTTACCGATAATTCCTTTTCTTCAGAACGGACCGCGCCTTGGGGCCCCGTCCGTGTATACCATTGTGGGACACTGCTTCGCGTGGGCTGCTGGATATAATGGCGTGCGGCTCCCTGCGAATCCATCGGGGTACACAGCGCGCGAGCCAAGACAAGCGGATTCTTACGCACAAATGGGCCGCCCTCCAGTGTCCACTCGTGACTAGCCGTTCCACCGCATCGAAGCCGCCTGCTATCACCACCGCCGACATTTTTCATTACGCCAGTGCTGCCCTATCGTCTGTGGGGACCCGGCATGTCTTCCGCGTTCGCGCCCGCCTGGAGGTCCTCTCCTCAGCAACTATAGCCTCTGGATCCGGCTTCACGCCACGACCGCCCTTCCTTCCGTTAGCGCGCGGGATGCATCTACGCACGTCTTTCTGGCCACCCTATTCGATCCACCTATTCAAAAGTCTCCGTGGTCGACGTTGTGTGGTGCTGTTGTGCATCCCCGTGTTTGGTCTCGGGGCGTTCCGCCGTCGAAACGTTTTGTCGACCTCGAGCCTGGGATTTCAGCCTTGGAGGAACCGCGACGTCAATATGAACCGGAGAAGGGGAACTAGCACCGAGCAATGTCTACAAGGACTTCATACATGTACATACGGCGCGTCGGAGCAAATTCGAATGTGTATATTGCGTGCTACTAGTGCCGTACGAAGAAACAGTTAGACAGTGCAGAAATTTTGCTTTTTAGTACCGATGTATACTTCCATTCCGTCCACTACTAGCTCTTCGAATGCAGCGAGGATGTACGCCGCAGGCTTCGAGGTTGTGCTGAAGAGATCGATGCGGATGGTTCGGATTTTGGTGCGACGGGCTGTGAGAGCACGAAGTAGGGCCTCCCAAGAAGAGTCGGGAATCTGAGATCTCGAATGGAACCTGATGGTCAAACTGCGAAGGTTGGGCAGTAAATTGGATGGGGAGTCCGCCCATGGAGCGAAGAATTGTTCAAACATACTCAGGCGTATCTGGGGAATTGATACATCGCGAGCTTCAGATGGGAATGAGGGATGCGATATATCAGGGCCTGTCATCAGAGGTGCTCGCGATGCATCACGTTAGAACAAATACCTTTTTCGGTAGGCATGCGGCGCGCTCGCTTGGAAATCAGGCGGCGGCGCTGTCCCGACATTTGAAGCTCGGGGCGCCTTCGGGTGGCGGTGCTCCCGCCTACTACCTTTTTCGGTACTTTTGTACTACAGCTCCCCGGGATGTGGAAACGTCAGAGAATGTTGTTGCCATACATTTTGGCGCGCACCGTGGTCCCTGAGTCCATAGAGCGTTCGCAAGAGCAGGGATGAGCCTTATAAACCGGTGGTAATTGGCGTGTATCGTGTTGTTTGTTCGTGTTAGTATGGCACTCTCCTCTTACTCGCCTTTGCTCGTGCTCCCATTGTTTCTCCTCTACGTCGTCGCAATCGCTCAGATATAATCTACACATATCTACACCGGCATAGCCCATCCACTCCATCCTCTCTTGCCCTCCCTGGAGCTCCGGCTGGGTTTCAATACTCTGCGCTGCCCGCGCTCGCCCGGGCGCTTCACCTGCCCCACCCACCTTGTGAGCATATCAAGATATTGTCTATCACCACACCATTCTCCTTCTCTAACCTCAGCCCCAGCCGTGTCACCGTTCCCTCTCCGCCCCCGTTTTGGCCTCCCCCTGCCTTTCAGCTTCCAGCGCCCGGCCCCGCTCCTCCAGCTCCTTTCCAGCGCTGCGGGACGATGGAATCCACCTGCCAATGAAGATGGTATATCGCCTCCCCCCGCTGGACGCCTCCTTGGGCTCGCCCCGGCTCGTTTGCGCCCCCCCCGCGCTGCCCGCGCCCGGTACCGCTCCCAGCCGCTTCACGAGGCCCTGGGAGCCGAGGGGCATCTCACCCGCATCCCCACCTCAAGTCTCAGCCCTCCTCGGTCCGCCGTTCCGTATCCACCTCGGTTTCGATCACGCGCGCTTACCTGCACTCGCCCAGGCACTGCGCCCGCCCTACCTGCCTATGCATGCATCTCAGGGTATTGTCTAACACCACACCGTTCTCCTCCTCGAACCTCAGCCCCAGCCGCATCGCCCTTCCCTCTCCGCGCCCGTTTTGGCCTCCCCCTGCCTTTCGGCTTCCAGCGCTCGGCCCCACTCCTGCAGCTCCTTTCCAGCGCCGCGGGGCGATGGAATCCACCTGCCAATGAAGATGGTATATAGCCTCCCCCGCTGGACGTCTCCTAGGGCTCGCCCTGGCTTGTTTGCGCCCCCCGCGCTTCCCGCGCTCGCCCACGCCCGGCACCGCTCCTAGCTGCATCACGAGGCCCTGGGGGCCGAGGGGCAGCTTCACTCCCTTCTCTTTCTCCGACCTTAACCCCATCCGCGCCGCCATTCCCTCTCCGCGCCTGTTTGCACCCCCCCTGCGCTTACTCTACCCCTATCCAGGCTTCTTGCACCTGTATCGTTCTTACCACTCACCTACTACCTACATCGACCCCTTCTGTACCGTACCCGGTAGAAATTACTGTACTTACTTGGCTTCTGGCACACAAAATCGAGATCTTTAGGTTCTTGTGAGAGGAAAAATGAGACAATGTGATCCTCCGACTAGGTAAATACACATGTGGTTCTGGTAGTGTAGTTGGTAATATGCCTCCTGACATTATAAAGTTAGTCGTTGTCGGTTCGAACCCGGCCTGGGCCTTACTTGAGAATTCTTAATTGCTTTTTCTGTGGGGCGGTGCCTTCATTTTCGGCAGCGTCACGAAAGTATCAAGCCACTCAAAGTCGATCCCAATTCTGCGAAGCATTTTTTCAAACAATAAAACAAAAAAAGAAGCTACTTGAGGTATATATCTTACGCCTTTCATCAACCCATGTATTTCCTAGCGCGTCCTCGCCCTAAGAAATGCATTGTCAGTGCCGGTCAATTCCTCCTGGCTGGAAAACTGCCGCACCTTTTATTCGCTGGGCCTTCATTCTCCTCCTCCTCCTGCCCCTTCCGCTTCGCCTGCCCCTTCGACTTCTCCTTCGACTTCTCCTTCGACTTCTCCAGTCTCTGTAGCAATGCTTCATCTGTCTCATTCGGATTCTTCGGTGCTCGCCTCTCTCTCCCTGGACGACCGAGTTGAGGAACAGGCGGCATTGGAGCCCCGGGTAAGCGGGGTAGTACAACGAGATCGGAGCCCCCCGCCGGATTGCGAAGAAGGTCCACCTTGGGGGCGGCATTCGCCCTCCGATCCCGTTCCCTCTCCATCGCCCGGATTTCCTTCCAACGGCGAGTGTTTGTCGCTGGGTCCGGTGTGTCCAACGGCAGCGGGATAACCTCCCCATTGTCGCCGTACGTTTGAAGGAACACCAGCGGCGCTCTTCGCCCGCGTCCACTACCGCCGACTTCCCCAGCAGCATCCACCTCTCCGCCTTCTTCATCCTCCCCCTCTCCTGCCCCCGACGTATCACCCTCGAAGCCCTGCCCTCCCGCCGCCTTCCTCCCTCCTCGCCCCTTCCCCCTTCCTCCACCCGCTTCTGTGTTAGCCCTCTCTCCGCCTTCATCACCATCCGCTCCCGGTGCTTCACCCTCCACCCGTTCCCTCCCTCCTCCTCCTCCCCTGCCGCCCCGCCCTTTCCCACGCCCACGCCCACGCCCACGCCCTTTCCCGCGCCCACGACCGACTGGTGCACGGCTGCCCACTCCCTCACCATCAGGTCCCCCCACTTTCGCGATGGGATACGGCTTCGGTGGGTTTGCCATCGGTCTTGACATCGGGTAATGAGGGCCAGCCAACGGCTCCTCTTCTTCCTCGCTACTCATCTCCTCTTCCTCCTGTGTCTTCCTGTGCGCCGCCATCGCAGCCTCTAACGCCTGGGTCGACGCCGCGATGGCTGTCACATCCCCCCTCCCAGCCGCGACGGCCGCCGAGGACGTTCTCGCGATGCGCGGTGGCAGCGGCGACGTATTCGGGGGCGAAGGGTGGCTCAACACCGTCGAAGGTAGCGAGATAGTCGGGGGAGATGGGTGGCGCACCGCCGTTGAAGCTGCAGCCTCCGTTGACAACGTCGCCATCGGGGGCTTGGGCGGGGTGCGCTTAACCTCTGTGGCCTGCCCCACGTGAGTTGCGGGTAGTGAGGGAGGTGTTGGCGGGGTCGGAGCCGGGGATCGCGGTGTAGCAGTCAACGCACGCTCTCCGGAAGGCAGCGCTTGTAAATGAAATGAGTCACCACTCCAAACGCAATGTAAAGGGTTGCTCACCTGGAATCTCCCAATTCTCTGTGTGCGCGCTGCTCAAGTCAGGCGCAGCAAAGAACGCTGGTGCCTGAGGCTCAAAGTATTCCGGCACGGTTGCTATGAAGTTATCGAAATCGTCGAGATTCAAGCCTTCTCCAGCCGACCAGCCGGGCAAGTCCATGCCCTGCCCTTCCACGGGCTGCAATTCGTTTGCCCCGGAGTCGAAGCCCCGTCCTTCGGTGTAAGTGAAGACCGCCCCTCCTGAATCATAGCCCGGGTGCTTTGCCCAGAAGGAGAGATCGTAGGTCGTATGCGCGGTAGTCTGGAAGACGCCGTCTGTAGAGTCTGTGGGGGTCTGGGAGAGGCCGTATGTCGAATCCACGGCGGTCTGGGAGAGGTTGTACGTCGAATGTACCGCGGTCTGGGATATATTGTACGTCGATTCGGAATCCATAGTCTGGTGCAAATCCGAAGAGGAATCGAGAGCCGGCGAGGAATCGAGAGGCGGCGAGGGCAGCGCCGGCGAAGAGAGTGGAGTCACAGAAGACGTGATAGCCGCTGCAGCCACCGACGCTGCCATGCCAACGGTACTTGCCACCACTGTCGTTCCCTTTGACCTCTTGGGCGCCTTGAATTCCGGCTTATCTTTCTGCTTCTTGGGCTTTGGCTTTGCAGGCGGCTCTTCAACATTGTCCAGGTCGTCTTCACAGCCCATCTTGACGGAGTCGACTGGGTCGGGCAGAGCCATGGCATCGCGAAGGGCTCGCGCTGTCACATAAGAAAGAAATTAGTGTTAAAATTCGAATTTAATACATCGATGACACTCACGGAAACGTCGCCTCAAGAATTCCACGAATTTAGAGCTTACGCCCTCATTCCAGTCCGGATGCGAGTCTTTGAAAGTGTTGCCATTTGGTGATCTTCCGCAAGAATATCTGTGGACACCCGTGATCAGTCAACACAGCCCAACACGAGTTAGGCGCCACATACACCACAACTCCGAGCGCGCCTCCCGCTCGCGGCGTCGGTCCACCGAGCATCGTGAAGCCAACCCAGCCAGTCTTCTCCATAATCAGGCTGTGTAGTCGATCGATGATCCCTTCTAACTGGTCGATCGACCTGACGAAATAATCAGCACACACTTCGCTGGTAGCAAGTCCACGAAACAAACGACTTACAGCTGGGCCAACTCTGGCGTCAGCTCCACCTCCGCGCTCTTACTCTCCAATTTCGCCTTTTTGATCTTCTCCAACTCCAACTGCACCTCCCCCTTCACCGTTTCTGTCTCCTCATCGAACAACTTCTGACTCACAGCCCTCCTCGCTGCCATCCTCGCCGACGCCTGCTTCTTGATCGTGGCCTTCAACGCCGGTGCTGGCTCTTCGCCCTCCATACCAACCCAGTCAACATCGCCCTCGTGGATCACATCAAAGTTGCCGGCCTTCAACGCCGCTGTGACGCGGTCGGGATACATCGTTTGGTACAGCTCAACGAGCTGGGGGTCGCGGTGGCGCTTCTTGTCTTTCCACAGCGCCGCGGCAATCGAAACCGTGTCGTTTTTTTTAACAGCCGTTGTGCCCGATTTTCGCGATGTCGCGACGTGGTTGCGGAACCAGCTCCGCAGTTGCTGGGAAAATGCGAGGTAAGTAAGACCATTGCTGACGCGTAACGACGCGTCAACTCACCTGTTTTCTCTTCTCGAGGGCGTGGCCCAACACTCCCGATTCCTCAGGCGTGAGAGTGGCGTCGGAGTCATCCCTAGGCAAGTTGCAACCGTCTTCCTCTGGCCAGAGTCTGAACCATTCTTCGTCCAGGCGCGTGAAGAAGCTGATCTGGTCGCCACCAGCCTTGCTCTCCACGTATTTCCCGACACGCGCTTTGAGCCAAGCCAGCTGGTCTTTGTTAGCCCAGAATCCCGGGGCCATCGTCGTGTAAAAGCAAAATGCACGGCAGTAAGTAGGTGGTTAGATTCAGGATAGTTTCCACCACAAGGTCAACCAGTTTTCATGCGCCAGATCTCATTTGTAAAACACAGATTCGTTGATCGAAAACAGCCGGTTTATTTATTCAGATCCTTTTTTTCATGTATCACACCAAAATATCCACCCCATTGGGCCCAAGCCAGCGCTCATCGTGCAGCCAACAACCGTCGCCGTTGCTGCCGGTACCAGTTTCGGAGTCTCTGTCATAAGTTCGCAGGTGAGTAAACCGGACTATCCTTTACTTTTGCAACATGCTCACCCGTCTCAGCGTTCCGCTAATCCAATGTGTTTCGATGTCGAGCGCATCGGAATCGGCCGTTAGCCAAGCGCTCGCCCACTCCTGCTCCAGTAGGATCCAGAATTTTGAAACCTGCTTCTGTGCCACAGCTTCCAAGTAGCGTCCCATGCGTGTGCGCAACCAAACATCCTGCTCGTCGGTGGCCCATGATCGCGGTGCCATTTTTAGGTGGGTGTCTTTTCGTACTTTAACTTACAGTAACAACTCTCAGTTTAAATGTATTTCCCCCAACACCCGATCTAGCTTGCCCAAATCGGGATTCCCAACTCGGCCTAACAAGAAGCCCTCACCGCGCCACGTTCCATCAAGTAGGCACATGCATCATCTACCGACATGTGCACCAAAAACTGGCTTATAAAGGCCCATCTCGCTTCTCCTCTTCTCCTATACCATGACCAACAAGTCGACACCCGCAGTTGCAAGCAACGCCTCCAACCCCGAGAAGGATTTGGAGGCGCTGCTTGCAACGGTTGCGGGCCTTGCGCAAATGTCGTTGGCCCTCACCAAGCATTGCGTCGATCTTCAAAGTACGTCTCTTATCTGATGCACCTGAGGCGCACTGAATTTTGTCATAGCGCGACTCCCCACCGTGTTCAATGCCGCAGTGAAGGCCAACGTCGCTTCTATTGTCCGTACGTCAACCATCTCCTTCATCTCCCTACGTCGCTCATCGATCCTGCCTTAGCCGCTGCACCTACCTGGGTTGAGCTTGTGCCGCGCACTCCTGATCAACTGGAGACTGCTCACCCCCCCGGATCCGGTGACGATGTGGCGTACCACGTCGTCACCATTGGCCGCGAGCCCGGTTTGTACAACAGTGTGTAAGTTTGTCTCATGCCTGACTTGTCTTGGTCCCTCTGACCATCTTGCAGGGCCGATTCGGACTACCAGGTTCTCGGGGTTCCGGCTGGCAGGTGCATCAAGAAGGGGAACCGTCTCGAGGCCCTCGCCTACTACCGCAACAAGTACAACATGCAGGAGGTCCACAAGTGGGCACCTGAGGACGAAGTTCTTGCGACCACTGCTGCCAACGCAGCCGCGCTCGCTAGCAGCAGCCGCCGCTGATGCGTGAGTACATTGTTCTTGCCGATGAATCACAGATAACCTGCCTCCGTTTTCAGTCAATTCAACCTCCGCGTCTGGCGTAGTGTACTTCGTGAACGTATATACAAGTGCAATGAATTTTTGTCGTCGCCGTT